GTTCTCCTTCAAGGCCTTGCTGTTCCTCACTTGGCGGCGAATCTCAACGAGCCAGTTCGCTCGCAGCGCCGCCTTCAACGGCCGAATCCAAGCAACGTCCGCCGGCTGGCAGCACCAGGTGAACCGCGGCGGAACACGCTCCAACAGCACATTGATCGAATCCGCGTAGGCAACGACCTCTTCTGTGAAGTGCGCGCTGAAGTCATCCCACAACAGGATGACCTTCTTCGTGGTGCGGTCGTGGCGATCCCCGAAATGGTACTGTACTGTACCTGAGGAACTCCAATGACATGCCAGAATTCCACCAGGCTGTTGGGTTGCCGTAGATCCTGCAGCCCAACCGATCTTGAAGGGGCTCGACCTCACTCCAGACACGCCGACCAAAGCCATTCCGCCAGGTAAGGTTCTCTTGGACGACCTCCTTGACCTTGGACTTGGTTGTTTTGAGCACCAGGAACAAAGGGTACTTTCGGCCGGTAGAGTCTGCAAGAAGCATCGCAGTCGCACGCTCCTTCGTTTCCCCCCCGCACTTGACCCAAACGGTATCTTCCTTGGCCGCGTTCAGAGTCTTGGTCGGCAGGTATTCATAGTTCACGGCGGTTTGGTCCGCGTTGTAGATCACCTGAACGTCGTTGGCAATGGCTGTGAGCAAGACACGCTCGGAGAAGGCACTCAACGTGTCGGCGCCGTCTTGGTTGGAGTCCTGGCCAATGCGGGTCTTTGCGCAGAAGGTGAGGCCATGTCGCCGCTTGAACCCTTGAATCCAGTGCCAGCCACCCTTGAACTCGTCTTTGGACAGGCCGACATCAATGGCCGTCTCTAACACCATGATTTGTAGCATGTTGTAGGTGACCGGGATGCCATCCTTCCGCATGCCATGCACCCACCGAGCCAACTGCTCTTCTTCGTGCACAGGCAATGTCGTTCCGGTCCCGCGTTCACGAAAGCACTTTTGCTGAGCAGTGCGGGGGGCAGCAGCCATGCTTTCGATGAGATCCTTTTGCTTCATCTATGCATACACCTTCTTGCGTGTCGTTTCGCGTAGAGTTGCAGATGCATTGACACAGTACGAGTCCAGGAACGCAGACATGCCAACATCAGCAACTTGATGAATTACATCGAGTTTATGCTGATAGTCCACAGTCTTGTACTTGAACTTGACCACGTGTGCTTTGCGTCCATACTTGGAGACAGGGTGGCCAGTTGGTTTGCGGCGAGTGGTGGCGCTGGGGGTGTCGTTGGTCATGGCAGCGGGGACAAGAATGGAGCGCGCGAGTTTGATCGACAAAAAACCTCTATAAATGAATACTTTATGTGATGATGGAGTATTTATACATTGTAGGAGGTATTATACGCGCGAAGG